TTTCTCGTTTTACACCCTTGTTTCATATCTTGTTTCTCAGACCCCTGTATCTGCCCCTGCGAGTGTTATTCACAGCGGAGTCCTTCTCTCTGTCCAGCAATATCATTGTTGACACTGCCACCTTCCACCTCAGGTACTCGACGTAAAGATTGTCCATTAAAACGATAATCAAAAACGTCGCTGTCAGTTTTTGTCACAGTGTATGATTCGTTGGGAGACCTTTGTTCATTTTTGTTATGTTGTCGTCAGATTCATCCTGGATGATTCTGCTCTCTACCTCTCTGACAAATGTGAGACTGAAACAGTGGACTTGAGGAGAGGTAAGGTGCTTCAGATGCCTTTTGGAGCTGTGTAAAAACAGGGGTTTGGTTTGGGTTTCCTTTTTGGATTTTATCTGTTAGAGTTATTCAGGACTGTGTGCTGAGGAACTCCAGTGAAGCTTAGATGAGAAGTAGCATTTTCTTTTCTTATCTTGCATGCATTAAACTAATCAGTGTCTTGCGATATCAGAAACGAACAGGGGACCGAATCATTGGCCGTGCTGTTCAGAATGACAGATGACTGAACAGTGAAAATGGTTATCCCAAGTTTGGTGGTCTAGTATTTTTAACATGAGGCCTGTGAGACTGATATTAGAGCTGTTTAAGAATAATTTACCACCCTCTGAATGGTTTTGGCCTTTAAAGTGGTGGATCACAAAAAAGTATGTGAGCTCTGTATGATGTTAAAGGGAAGTAGTACCCTCAGCCAATCAGAAGAAAGTCATCTTGAAGGGTGGATAAGGGGGTTAAATGGTTTTTCTTTATTGAAGCTCCGTTTAAGATAAAGATTAAGATTTTGAACTGTTAATTATGCTCCAGTAGAGTCCAAGAATAGAAAATAAAAATATGACTGGAACTGGGCCTAAAAGGTCATCTTTATGCTGAAAAGAACAGCTACATCCACTATAATATTGGGAAGCTGAATGGCAAATAGAAAGGTCACTTAATATGTACTTTTTCCAAAAACAGGCATTCTGAAAACTAGTTTGCCAGTTCAAGGGTCAAAAGAAATGTGTTGAAGTGACTGCAAAATAAGCAGTTTCCTAATAAAACCACCGCATGTTTGTGTCACACAGACTACGTGTGTGTCTTGGACATTGACCTGCTGGAGCTCGCCATCACCACATGGAAAGGCAGTGATACAGGAAAGCTGGTGAGTGCCCACTGTGTGTTTACTTACCTTTGTCTCCTTCACCCTCAGCACCACAGCAAGAAAAAAAAAAAGAGAAAAAGATTACCGCTGCCAGCAAAATATGTGAGCATAAATAAAACATCACAATTTAGCGCAATTATCTTCACAAACCACTAACAAGCACAGGCTACGTATTTATAAATATTTTGTTTGTTATAATGAAGTTTAAATACGATAAAAAGCTCCAGGTAGCAATTTAGGACTATAATCCATTTCAGCTGGGCAGGAAAGCAAAACCAGCCACAGTAAACAGGGCCTCCCTCCTCACCGATGCAGCTGTCCTATAACCAGGTCAGTGAGGACATATTCAGGGTATTATATGAAAAATGTCTGTTTAAAATCAATTAAAAAATGCTCTAAAGGTCTATTTTCAGTCTTTATTTGGGTGTATTTGCTCTGTTTGCCCTTTTTTAATTATTGTTTTCCTTTTTATTAAGGTTTTAAAGTTTTTATGGGCTGTAATAAGACAAAAAAAATTTAGATCCCCAGGCAATACAGACAAACAAACGAAAGAAAGAAAGAACAAGAAAAAAAAAAGATGGATAAGAGTCATTACAAGTAAGTTAAATATTCAGATAAACAAGGCATCAACAAAGTATAATAATGCAGCCATAATAAAAAAACATCCTCATCAGCAGCGGCTGTGGCTCAGGAGGGTAGACCGGGTCGTCTACCAATCAGAAGGTCGGTAGCTTGATCTTCGGTTTTCTTTAGTCTCCGTGAAGCATCCTCGGGCGTCCAAAAGTGTGAGTGTGTGAATGATCGGTTTAAAAAACATGTGTGTGTGAATGAGGCTGGTAGTAAGGAAGTGCATTGAGTGCTTAGTTAGAATAGAAAAGCTATATATACAAGTACCCGTCCATGTTCTTAATTATGCCAAGCTCAGGTTTTCTGTGCTGGAGAAATTGCTGCAGTATACATTTCTAAATAGATTGTTGACTAGAAGTTTTTAAGTTTGTAGAATATTTAAAGGCACAATGAATTATATTGGGAAAGAAAGCTCCATTCAATCTTAATTGAGAATTATTGACTCACTGAAGAACATATCGAACGGCAGAAAAAAAACCTAAATCCATCTGATGTAAATAATAGAATTAGTAGATACATTTATAGGAAAACACCCAGAAAGTAAAATGAAGGATGGGGATATGGATGATGTATTTGAGAAAATGTGAAGTAGAAAATATGTCATGAAAAGGAATCTCTTTTATTTTCTTTCTTGTATTAATTTACTATAAATTTAAAATGAGATGCACAAAAAAAGTAGATATGTACAACAGAGATCTGGTAATAAATGTGGGATAAAAACCCAAACTATTTCTAATACATACAAATATATGCATTTCTTATACCCCACCTATCCTTTTCCCCTTTATAGTATTTCTATAAAGATGACTTTTAAAAGTTGTGATTTTTTTTTTCTCTTTTATGTATAGATTGAGGTTTCACAATGAAAAAATTAAGTTAATACATAAATAAAAAAATTATACATTTTAAGGATTAAAAGATGTTAGAGGTTAAGAGGATTTGATTTAATGAAGTTTCTGAATAAACTCTGCCCACAATAAAACTCTTTATTTCTGTACCATTACACATTTTGTTAACATTTTTGACAAATGTTGCAGCTTTAAAGTTCTCTCATCTCTCTTATGATCTTCCCTCTTGTGTCCCCACTGCCATTGTCCTCTCTTTATTCTACAGTCCCAGCCGCTCTTTGAGCTCCGTTGTTCCAACAATGTGGTCCATCTGCACACCTGTGCAGATTCCTGTGCTGCTCTCGTCAATCTGCTGCAGTACCTGGTCTCTCAGGGCGACCTGCACCCGCCGCCACGGCACACCTCGCCCACTGAAATCGCTGGACAGAAATTACCAGTAAGGCTGGTGAAATGTGGAGTGTGTGATGTTTACTTTTATGTGATAAAATGGTCCAACATACCAATGCTGTTGTGTTTTATTAGCTGTCAGAAAGTCCAGCGTCTATGCTGCCCTGTCCTCCCGCTGAAACCGCCGAGATCAACCAGTACGACCTGGCTGACGCCTTAATCGACATGGAGAAGAGCCACAGAGAAGAAAGTTTAGAACCAGGTACTGCAGAGTTGCTCTGTTTAGAACCCCTGGGATCATCCTGACAGGTTATAGTTAGGTAAAATTATCCTGTTCCCATGTGTGTAGACATGCTTCACTTTACACACAGGAGATAGCTTAAAAACTTAATTCAGTTCCTTTTTCTTTTTCTTTTTTTAATGATATTGTTTGAGTGTCTGAAAACCCCAAAATTTTTTTAGTGGGAACAGTGGCATTCTTTGTATAACAGGAGGTATTATGGTCTGTATAGAGTACCAGTTTGCTAAATATTTACATCTGATTCTGTCTGCTTTCATCCAGGTTCACCTTCAATGCCGAGAAGCTCCCCCGTCTCCGTCTACCTGTTCCCCGATGAAGCCTCAAAGCACGGCCCCTCTGTCCTTCAGGGGGAGCTTGACGGGCTGGTTGCCACAGCGACAGAGGCGCAGGCAGATATGATGTCAGAGGAAGGCTCCGAGGGCTCCACCGACAATGACGACTTCTGTATCCTGGAGGCTCCCGGCATGGGCATCCCTGTGAGGGTCCCCTCTTAGCTTTCACTTCCCTGTCACCTCTCATTCATGAACCCATTTCAGACTCTGTGCTCACTCACAAAATGTCTACATGTGTGTTTATTACAGCCCCGGGATGGGGAGCCCACGGTAACAGTGCTTTGCGAGGGGCCCATTAGAGTGAAGGACAGCCATTTTTCCCGGCCACGTGGCAGCTCAGACCTGCTCCGAGCCCCGAGTCGCTTCCCAGTGCCTCAGAGTAGGGTAGTTTTACGGGAGATCTCTGTGGTCTGGCATCTTTACGGGGGAAAGGACTTTGGAGGCAGGCCTATGTCTCTGCATGCTCAGAACATCAACAGGTAACAATGCACATGAATTCTTTCATGCACAGACACCCATGGTTATCATATAATTAATTATATAAATATTAAATAACTGAAATATTAGCATGCTGATTGGTCCAGTCCATACAAGGTTTTTGAAACTTTTGTGTACATAGTTTGTCAGATTTATCGTTTTTTTTTTTTGTTTGTTTTTGTTCTCCTGTGTGTGTGGGTGCACCTCTCTGCAGAGGTCGTTCAGCGCCCGTCCGTGGGTCACCTTCTCGCTCCGCCCCCTCCTCTCGACCGCAGAACTCTTGGCGCTCAGCTGGAGGCATCGGCCGTCAGCACAGCCTGCTGATGGAGATACAGCTCACCAAGGTACACTAATGCACTGATATCACTGGTTTGAAAATGTACGTTTTTTTAAAATACATATTGGCATACAGACATATATCACTGTACCTCTGTCTCAACATGTGTCTCCTGTTTTGTCCTCCAGGTGTCGTTCCAGCATGAGTCCTACCCGGTAGTGGGGCAGGATGGGGAGGGGTCAGCAGCACCTGTGGTCGGGGTCGGTCCCGGTGGTGAGCAGCCGCTCTCCAGGCAGGTGTTCATCGTCCAGGAGCTGGAAGTTCGAGACCGACTGGCCTCCTCACAAATCAACAAATTCCTCTACCTCTACACTAGTGAGAGCATGCCCCGCCGAGCCCACTCCAACATGGTGAGACAGAGAGACGGAGGGTCTTTGACTCCAAGTCAGATGCTGTGCACGACAGAAAATTCAGTTTCTAATCAAACCATCCTGATGTTGTAAATCTTTACTTACTTTGTGCACTTTCTATTTAGCTTAGCTTTAATGCAGTTAGGGACATGATGAACAGACTTTGAATGATAGTACTCATGTGGTGTGTCATTTTTGTAGTTGACTGTGAAGGCCCTGCAGGTGTGTCCTGAGTCTGGCCTCGGGGGGCCAGAGTGCTGTCTCCGGGTCAGCCTGCTGCCGCTGAGACTCAACATCGACCAGGTAACTTTTGGGACTGAATACTGAGAGCTGCTCTTGAACCTCGTCCATGAGGTGGTGGCACACAAAAAAACAACTCTTACTGCAGAAATTATTTTGAGTACAGATGTATTAAATCTGTTTGATCGTCATAAACGAGCCGTTTCACACTCCACAGGTGTTTCTTTGTAGCTCAAAATTCATTCAGTACCATTCATTCTGCTGTTTGTACTGCTCCCATAAAGTCTTCACGTCTTTTCTTATTTTTTTCTGTTTCTTGTGTAGGACGCACTGTTTTTCCTGAAAGACTTTTTTAGTAATCTAGCTTCCTCTGTTAATCCTTACCTGCCTGTGGATCCTGCAGCTGAAGGTGAGCTCTGTCAGCTCTTCTTTTATCATTCAGTTCTTTGATGTCAGATCTGCCGAGCTGATTTTTACGGAGTTGTAGCCTTTTTCTTGTTCATCGTTGTGGCACGATGAATTTTAATTAGCTACAGAGTACATTTAAATGATGACTGAGGTGAATTTTTAGCATGCTAGATTTGTGACCTGTTGTAATTTCTCTGTTTTCAGTGAAGGCAGATTTCTCCCAGAAGGGGTCTGAGGATCTAGAGATGGCTGCTGCTGCTGGTAGTCTTGGACCCGACCTCACAGCTTCTGTGGAAACTACCTACAGTGAGCAGAGTTCCTCTTCTGCCGGCTCCAGCGCCTCCTCTGACCAGCCAATCTACTTCCGGTATGTAGTGACTGAAAAGAGAGTGAGAAATCTGGAGAAACAGAATAAAAAAAGAAAGAGCAGAGAATACTGTAAAGATGATGTAAGTTACTAGCTAGGAAACTCCTATGTTACAGATTCCAAAAAAGAAAAATCACCTCTAAAAATTAGCTTAAATAAAGTAGAGTAACTCAAAGACTACAAGTTTCAATGATTGATAAAGTTTCCCGCTTCTTGTCTCCACCCTTTTCAGGGAGTTTCGTTTCACATCTGAAGTGCCTATTTGGCTCGACTATCATGGCAAGCACGTCGTCATTGAACAAGTGAGTGGTCATTCAGAGATCCTGTCTACTAATTCAAACAAAAAGCTGAAGGGTTTAAATGACTTGTTGTTCCTCAGGGGACGTTTGCAGGGATTCTGATCGGTCTGGCCCAATTAAACTGCTCCGAGCTGAAACTGAAGAGGCTCTGCTGCAGACACGGGTAAAAACAAACGAACCAACAAGCAAACATTTCAGCTATTTTTCAGTAATTTGCCCTAAATTTGCTGTTAGTGGTTTGACTTTCTGAGACTTTCTGCATGTTCCAGTCTCCTCGGGGTCGACAAAGTGATTCAGTACGCCGTCACAGAGTGGCTGACGGACATCAGGAAGAATCAGCTGCCCGGCATCCTGGGAGGTGTCGGACCCATGCACTCAGTCGTCCAGCTGTGTAAGTTGCTTTTGTTTTCTGCAAACGTTTTTACAGCTGCTTTCCATTATTGCTTGGATTGTGGTTCATACTTCCTCTCTCCTTCATCCTGTCCAGTCCACGGAGTGAGGGATTTGTTCTGGCTGCCTATAGAGCAGTACAGGAAGGATGGACGCATCATTCGAGGTCTCCAGAGGGGGGCAGCGTCCTTTGGTACCTCCACAGCATCTGCTGCTCTGGAGCTTAGCAACAGGCTGGTGCAGGCTATCCAGGTACTCTGAGTGCAGATCATGACTCTTAGTTACACAGACGTTAAAAGCCTGAAGGTAAAGCACACACATTCCTAATATGCCAACAACTCTTCTGGTGTCTGTGTACCTCTGTGACAGGCTACAGCAGAGACCGTGTACGACATCTTGTCTCCAACGCCTCCTCTGAATCGCTACGCCATCACTGAGGGCCGGGCCACCTCTAGTCGACCTCGAAGAGTCGCCCAGCCTGCAGACCTTAGGGAAGGAGTGGCCAAGGCCTACGACACCGTCAGAGAGGTATGTGCCCAAATAAAATGTAGAAAGAGTTCATGGGTTAGAGGCCAGGGTTAACCAGGGCTGAGGATGAAAAGAAAATACCTGCAGCTACATCTCTGTTGGTAGAAGAGGTTAACTATATGTTAAAAGGCCTTGTAGAAACTTCCGCATGCAAGAATGCAAAGGGGGTTGAAACCCTAAATTTTTAGACTAAACTGTCTGCTCTCTTTGCTCTCCAGGGAGTGATTGACACGGCCCAACAGTTGTGCGATGTAGCATCCCGCGGCCACGAACAGAAAGGTCTCCCCGGAGCCGTGGGCGGCGTCCTGCGGCAGATCCCACCCACTGTAGTCCGACCTTTAATAGTGGCCTCTGAAGCCACCTCCAATCTGCTGGGTGGCATGAGAAACCAGATCAAACCGGACGCCCGGAAAGAAGATTTCCTCAAGTGGCGCACGGAGGACGGCCAAGAATGAGGACAGCTTTTTGTGTCTGTGTGTGAGGGAAAGTGTGTGTGCGTACGTGTATACGAGAGTATGAAATTATGATCTGGGAAAGTCTATTCTGTGGGAATCCAGGGGTTGTATGAGTAGCTGCATGTGTGTTGTGTCTAAAAAGAGTCAGCGTGTGCTCCAATGCAAAAAAGAGAAAAGGAAAGAAGAAGAAATTTTAAAAAAATGACTAACTACTGCTGCAGTTCCTGACGCACAGTGTTTAATGTTGCTCCCACATACATAGACGTGCAAGACTTCATTTTTCTGTTCGGCATTCGCTCGTTTTCCTGCTCTCTGTTACACACTAGTGTTTTTCTTCTTAACGTCAGTGCAAACATATCGCCGTCACTTTCTGCTGGCTTCATTTTCAGTCTGACCCGGGCAGAGGGGGCAGGTAAGATCATCATGCTCTGTGTTTCTTCACTCATTTGTGTGCTCTGAACTGTGATGGTTGAAGCTGTTTGTAATTTGAAGCAGCGATTTCAAGCACGAGTTGCACGGAGCACTGAGAAGGGATGTTTATAACTGAGAGCAGCTTCACTTTAATGAGCTTTCTGCAGATGAGTGGGGGGTACCTGTCTTTGGAGGGGGGTTGCCATGTGTTAGTTTTGCGCTCTTTGTGCTCATAATGGAAACTGAAAATATTTTCGATCAAGTGTCCTTTGCTTAACACCCTTGCAGATGGTACAAAGCTGTGTGATTGGTTTAGCTGTGACTCCCACTATGCACCCGCTACCCTCAGTGCTGTTATTCGTGCCATAAACCTTACAGTGTCCTTTTTAACTAGTTTGTGTTGCCTTCCTCGGATCTGTACCTCATCCCCTACTCAAAGCTCAGCACATACAGTGGCATACCTGACTGAACAGAAACAACGGGTCACATGAAGTCTCTAAATTTTGTAGCATATTGGATTCTGCTCGAGCTTCACGAAGATGAACGTTTTTCCAAGCTGACGTCACTGCAGCTCTCCTGTTAAATGTCAGATCCTGGGATCTCAATTAGCCCACTATGTCCTCATAAGTCCTCTGCCCACATCTTTAGTTGCCTTTCTGCATTGATTTTGTAATTGTCTCTTCTTCTTAGTTTTTTTAAAAAATATTATTATTATTATTTTGTTAAAGCATAAGTATTGTCATGTTTGTTTTCAGAGTAAGAGTAAAGAGGTATGTGAATCTGGTGAAAATGGAGGATGGAAAAATTAGGGTTAAAAATGTTTTACATTTTCTTTTTTTGTTTGTTTTTAATCAGTGTGAGGGACGCATGTCCTTGTCTGTGTGTGTGTGTGTGTGTGTGTGTGTGTCTGTCTGTGAATGTGTGAGGATGAGAAAATGTGTTTGCGCACATGATGCACGTCTGTGAAGGTGACAGGTTGATGCTTGTTACACCTCTTGCGTGTAATTACTATTGACTATATCATAAACTGTATGAATGACCTGTATAATACAAAGATGAGGATTATACAAAATTAATAGAAAAATTAAAAAAATTTGAGTATAAAAACCGAACAGCTGTCTGCCTTTATTTATTGTATTTTTATTATTATGATTCTTATTATTGTTATTATTATTTATTTATTGTATCTATTGGTAATTTAAGCAGTGTTGTTGCTGTACAGTTTGTATACTGTGGCATTTCAGGAACTTACTTGTAATTACTTGCATCCAAAATGATGGCCAGTATTGTATCTTCACTTGTTTAAAAAAAAGTTAAGACTGAAAGTAACTCAATCGTGAGCTGGTGCAGTAATTAAACCTGTAAGTATGTACTGGTGCATCAATAATTATATTGTAAATCCTGAGTATTGATAATATTTTTATAAAATATACTGAGAATAGTGTATTTACATATATTTATTTACTTTTTTAACTTTTTAATCTCTTTCATTACTTCTTTCTCTAATAATTGTTGTGCATGTTGCATGAGGTAACGGCTATTACAAAAAAAAAAAAAAACACTTTTTAATTTTTACACTAAATACATAATAACTTCAAAAATTACAAAAGAACAAAAGACAGAGAAACTTATAGTAGAAAATTTTCTACTATATGTTTAAGAAAAACAAACACACAAACGGTTTGAAACTTTGTGGAAGTGGAAGTAGACCAACACCATGGGTAGAAGGTCTACCCATGGTGTTCATGTCCCTTCCACTTGGTCATTTCTCTGCTTTGTCTCCTCCTGTTACAGGCTAAATGGGTGTTACCGAAATCTACAAAATAAAGGATATATAAATTTCGCTGCCAAAAACGGATTTTCCAGAAACTTGCAGTGCAAAATTACTGTTATGCAATATATATATATATATATATATTAAAATACGTTAATATTATTTAAACACATTTAAACTGGTTGGATCATTACAACAAACATGTAAAAGAAAAAAAAAAGAAAAAAAGAAAAGAAAAGGTGGATTTATAACTTGCTTTGTAATTTGACCTGCAGTTTGGTACTGCAGAAGTAGGAACAAGAGAAAAAAAACAAAAAAGAGGGGTGTTCAGAAGCTACTTTATATATTACATATTTTGGAAACATTTTTGTGTCATTTATACGACAAATATTTGTTTTAGTATTTTTGTGGTACGGAAAATGTGCCTTTATTTTAAAAATTACCCCTAATAATAAATTAAAAGCCACTAGGAATCAACGGAAGCTTTGGGAATCTTTTATGCGACGTACCGCCGTCACTTCCGGTGCACATGTAAACTCCGCAGCGTGGTTTACGTGTAGCTGTCAGTGTTTGCAGTTTTCTGGCTTTTTAGCGCCTGTTTGTAAACATGAAGCTCCTCACGCACAACATGTTGACGTCTCACGTGAAAGGGGTCACCAAGGGATACCCACTGCTCATCAAGGTAACCGCGAACACCTGGACAGCAGCTAATTCTAAAACACCAGAGCTCACCGAGCTTATCGCGACACACGTTTCTGCTAACGCCGAGTTGTAGTGTTTAGGTTTGATTTATGCAGCAGCAGTTAACAGTTCGCTTTATACTGTAAGGCTAAGACCTGAAGGATTAGAGAGAAACCCAAACAATCAGATGTTTCCCTCTGAGCTGCATTTGGCAACAGTGGGAAGGAAGAACAACCTTTTAGTTTGGAGATCCAGGCTCAGGGAAGGGAAACCATCTGTTGTTTCTCTGCGGTTTTTATGGCTCATATCTTTGCTATTTTGGTAAATAGGCTCTAATCAACATAATTTATGAAGGGGTCATATATAAAATAAAGAAATGTCTTATTAAAAAAGGCATTTATAATGTCAGACTCCGGGTGCGCTTTTACCTCGATAAGAATATGGAAAAGTAACTTGATGGGCTCGGTAAGGCTTGATATTGTTGCAGGTCAAAAATTAAGAACAGTTTAATTACCAACACGAATCCAGGAAGAGTTTGCAGGGTCAGGAGTAAGAGGAGAATAATAAAGGGAGAGCACAGAGAGACAAGGACAAAACCCACACTATCAGAGAGAGAGAAAACAAAACTTAATGACATCAATTAGTGGGATAAAATGTGTGTAGAGTGGAAATAATCTGAGCCTATTGCAGCATAACCTGATCCAGCTCCAGCTATAATCTTCATGATGATGAGAGGCTTGAAGCCCTAATCGTAAAAGTAGTCAGTATAGTGCTGAAGGCTCTGCCGTTTTTTCTTCTGCAAACTCCAGGAACCGGAAGTCAGCCTGCGCTCTGAGAGCCAGGTACTTGCATGGGATGAAATGGCACTATAAGATCACTACTGGGTCATCTACAGTCAGAAGTATTGGCAAGAAATGAAGTCTGTTATTTAAGTTTTTATAGTTGATACTGCAGCTTTATCACCACACATCCAGACTCAATGAGTTTCTTTTGCAGAGCCTTCATACTTTTACATCAGCTGATATGAGATCAGTTACACGTACATACATACACAAATTAATTTTGTTCACACGGGTTTACACTTAATTGGCGTTAAGCCTTTGTAAGCCTACGCAGGTTTTATGTTTTTAATCTTTATATATAAAATGAAATGTGCTGTACAAATAAAATTCCCATTACACGCTGTAACAGTTGCTGAATCACTGAAATGCACTTTACACTGAGCATTTTATCATGTTGTCTGATTTCTGCTTATGTGAATCGTGTGTGACTGTATCTACATTTTTATGCAGCAGATGGCAGGGCAGCACTCTTAATGTCACTAACCTCTGCTTCAGTGACAATAAAGCTTAATTCTAATTTTATTCTTGTGAAATCCGGTGTAAGATTTTAAGTAGTCACGATTAATTAAAAATATTCTTTTCCTGTTACACACGACAGAGTGGTTGATAGTTACTGCCGCTGTTTACCCCATAAACATCTTTTATTTTTTATTTCTTTCTTTTCATATACAGTTAAATGTAAAAAAGCACAGCAGAAATTTGGATATTATCTCAGGGGAATGTTGAAGATGGTCACATTGTACATCAGCTGTGTAACATTTCATTGAAAACAAGTATATAATTGCAGCAAACATTAAAATGTTTCTCATCTATAATGATTGATGGGTTGCATTTAAACCTTTGCTGGCAATAGGCAAATATGCACATCTGGTCTTGTGTGACATCACGCGTGCGTGTTTTGAATGAGTGTTAATACTGAACATTTTAAACTCGTGCGTTCTCTGCTGTGCAGGCCACTGAGGTGAAGGTGAATGAGGTGGAGTTTAACCCTCAGTTTGTCAGCCGGATGATCCCCAAACTGGAGTGGGGCGCTTTGGTCCAGGCAGCGGAGGAGGTGAGTCAGACATCACCGACTTTCATCGTTGATGCTAAACTGGCTGTAATGGGGTGTGAGTGTGAACGAATGAATGTTTAATGGACTGGCTACCTGTTCAGGTTGTGTCCTGCCCCTCACTCTGTTTGTTGGGATGGGCTCCAGTGAACCTGAGCTGGATGAGTGGTTAAGAAAATGATTCAAAGTGGCATAAAAGGAAAAGTAGCATCAGTGCTCGGCACGCTTGCTTCTTAAGATGAATAATAAGGGAGGTTGTTTTGAGTGTGTGTGGATTTCTTCTCCCTCTTCCTGTGACCACAGGCTGAATTAGGTTATTTTTTATGACTCTGGCTTTTATGTATGAGGTTGTTGTCAACCTGGCGATACTGCATCAATCTAATTGATCCATAAAGCGTCACAGGACTTTGTGTTTATAAAAAATGCTCCACAGTAAACTTTCACTGGGGTGCATGTTGTAACGTAAACACCCGATGCAATCCTTTTTCTCTCTGCAGCTGGGTCATCGGCAGGACCTGCCAGGCGAGCTGGTGCAGGAATACGAGAAAAACGAAGACTTCCTGAAGAAAGTGCACCGAGTGCTGTTAGAGGTAAATGGCTCCAAGATGCCAATTTTTAATTTTTAAGAGCGCGATAATGTGTGCGGATTTTGCACTATGGTGCCACCTAGTGGTGACTTCTTGTCTGTTGCGTTGTAGGTGGAGGTGATAGAGGGCTGTCTGCAGTGCCCTGAATCAGGACGGGAGTTCCCGATCTCCAAAGGAATCCCCAACATGCTGCTGAATGAAGACGAGGTGTAGATGGCACCGCGGCGGTTCCCATTCACCTCCTCACCCCTAAACTGTGTTTCTGACTCTGGACTGCGTGCATTCAGAGACAGGCTGGACTCTGGCCAGAGTTGGAAAACGGGCCACCGGTTTGATTGTAGTTGTGGCATCTGAACTGCCGATCTGAACAGTGGAGAAGATTTGACGTTTAACAGATGGAAACGTTCCCTGAGAGTAACCCCCAGTGCTTTTATTTGTATTTATTTTTGTAACTGTTTTGACTCCTTTCTTGTTTTTTCTTGTCTTTTCTTTTCCTTTTTCAATAAAACTGTCCAGATTTTCATGATAGCCAGAGTCATTAGTGGGAAATATGGATTCAGTTATATGCTAAAATATAACCCTGAGAGGCTGGCTCTGAACCCCATCCTGCCTTCTGCTAAGGGCCAGATGACGTGGCAGTGGCTTGTCTATATTTGGCTTTGAGGAAAAAGAGGCAGAAATGGCAGGCAGGCTGGAGGTTGTTTTTGAGGAAGTCTTTCTTTTTTTTTTTGTCCTTGAAGCCACATATTACAGCTCTCATGCACGCACACACACACAGAGTCAGACACACACAGAGTCAGACACAGACAGAGAAAACACCCCACCTGGGCATGCTCCTCTGATCTGAGATGGTCCGTGATATGTCTGATCTTTGTAAGATCGCTGACAGGAGGATTTGAGCGCCATGTCGACTAATTGGGCGTCTTTCATCGTCTTCTTTCTGATGTGAAGCGGCAAGCAGTCAAGTTGGAGCAGGAGCCTGTTTGTTCGAAGGCACTGTTATCATTTTTAGAAACACTGCCAGGACAGACGACGAAGGGGGAGGTTGCCCTGACCAGAAGCCTAAAGGCAGCCTGAGTCTCTCCTACCTTTCCCTTCTACTTACAGCAATTACAGGCCTCCACCCGCAACTATAATAACGGTATAATGGGATGGCAGCAGAGCAGCAATAA